CTAACCACACACACTTAGTGTAGCACGCTTAGACTTCCCTCACCTCTCCTACCCTAAAACAAACTGAGTCATGCCTCTACTTTTCTTGTAAGTTCCCTGGGACAGAGACTTTTTCTTTCCTTGTTCGGGAGGAAAAACACAATGTTAAAGCAACTTATTAATTACCATTATAAATAATAAAAAGGATAATATTCCACAGAGAAAAGGCACATTGAGATTCTGTGTTTATTATCTCAATGTCTTCATTTCATTTGTTCAGTTTCAGAGGAAAAGAACTAAGTGTTCATTTCACAAAAGCATCCTGGGATCAGCAAGCTGCATGCATGATCACAAGCAGCATTCCTTAATTGAATCTTAATTAACAATTCTATCGCTGATGTATAAGCCACAACAGAATCCTATTTATTTGCCAGAAGCTTAATAGCTCTGCAAATCTTAGAGAGTAAAACATGGCAAAATTACACTTTAGTGAGTTAAAAGCATGATTGTGAGACTTGGAAATATGCAGAAGGAGAACTATTAACAAGGAGCTTTGTTTATATACTCACTGCTTTTCCTTATCAGCACTGCATTTTACATTTTCCCCATCAGCCCTCTGGAAACATCAATTACATGAACCATTGGGAGATGCAGATGAGCATTAAGGAAGTTCCATCTATTATTTTATTCCTTAAAATCTTGTCAATTGCCTTACATATTGCTTGCCACTGTCCTATTCATTATATTTGCAGTATTATACAGGAATTCTGGAGATAGGTAGTATCACTTTCTTAAGTACTTTTAAAAGTGCTTTTAAGTAACAACTTTACAGGTTAGATAAGCTGCAGTACAATCCCACTGTTACACAGAAACTTTCTTCAGTACCCCTATTATAGAAACTTTCTCCATAACTATGCAGGCAGACAGCCCCTATATTTTATAATATATATGTGCACTAACTGTACCACATGGGACTACCACATCTCTGCAACTGTTGCTCCTGAAAGTAGAGCTTTTGTACATTCCTGAGTATATTCCTAGCTCTAGGTCCATGATTTGTGCCGCATGCAAGCATTTGTTTCTAGCAGTGGTAAACATTGACCACTAGTAATGATTCCAGGAGAAGGAGCCATACAGGCATTCAGCCAGCAACCTTCCCATCCCCTGTTCCTGGTGCCTTCCTGAGACTTGGGAAAAGCTTGGGGAGCAGTGGCTGCTCCAGTCTTCCTGTTCCATGGGCTTTCCTGCAATGCTCCCTCCACTCAGTTCCCAGGCACCAAGCAGAAATAGCAGCAACAGTAGTGCCCTGCCCACTCTTCACACTGGAGTCCCCAGTATGTGAGGACCCATCAGGGAACAGTTAGCAGCTGCTCCTCACCTCAGCCTACAAGAGATGAGGAGCAGCTGTCTCCTGTGCGGTCTCCAAACCAGTGTAACCCCTGTTTCTGGAAGGCACAGGAAATTTTGCCCACAGTTCAACTTCTCCTGGTCCCCAGGAGGAGTAAAGCTACAGGAAAGTGTACAAATATGTGTTCTCTTGCAGAAAACTCACCAACAGGCCACTTCTGCCAGGTGAAAGTTGGGTTATTTTTCCCCTGAAGCTGCCATTTGTGGTCCAGAAGAAACAATGAGAAAGTAAGTATACTTGTGGTTTCTAACATGAGAATGGTGGTTCTCCCAGTAGAAATGTGACACTTGTATGAGGCCTCCTACACAGGCACCTCTACTGTTCAATTGTAGTTTCTATGGTTAATATTAGAAACTAGGTAGTTGCCTGTCATTTACCAACCTGAAGTTGACTAAGCATGAAGAAATTTTCGCCATGTTTAAACATCGTGGACACCCTGAGCCATGCCTCTGCGTAAGTCTTCAGATTCTCCACAAAACTGAATGTCTGATTAGCCTAAAAACAGAAATGAACCAAAGTGAAATGAAAGTTGAACCCATAAATCCCATGGAAACAGGAATAGTTTGGATGCTTCGAGTCCTTCTGTAACATTTTTGCATTTCAGTTTTGACTGTCAGCAGTGTGCACATCTGTGTCTTCTCTTTCATCCTCAAAACAACCTGAAAATAATTTATTTGGTATTCAAAGACTGCAATGAATAAAAGAAAAAGCTTCCTGCAGTGTATGTTTTCTGCCTGAAAAAAACAAAATACAATTTCTTTTTATACAGCATCTGTACACAAGGTACATGATGTGCTTTAGAAAGTGAGATGGTGAAAAACAAAGGGAAGTTCTCAAATGAAAGCCTGCATTGATCACAGCACCACCTGTATGGGAAGAGAGAGGGTAGTCTCTGGATTTAATTTTCAATTCGTGTAACCTGATAGGTCTGGCACTGCCTGAAAAAGGGATATCTGACAAGGTTTGTCAGAGATTCCTTGCTCCTTTTCCTGGACCATCAGAAAAGGAATAGTCAAGGACAATGTATTATGATTGAATCATCAGAGGACAAGTCAAGTCGGAGAATAGTTGGGAAAGCACTGAGGTCCCAGAGGGGAGGGGAGCCAGGTGTCCAAGAAGAGTGGTCGCTCCTTAAGGAGATGATCCTCCAAGCCCAAAGGGAAATAATCCCAACACAGATCAAAGGGGGCAGGAGGGCGCAAAAGCCCCCATGGCTCACCAAAAGCATCCGGGAACATCTCCTAGCTAAAAGGGAGGTGTATACCCAATGGAAGGGAGAGGCCATCACCACG